GTAGTAGCAGTAGTAGTAGTAGTCGTTTATTGGCAGTTTACAAAAAGTGCGTTTATGCAAGTCAAGAATTACATAAATATCTAAAATGTATTACAGTAGGTGCTTATTACATTAGACGAGTGCGTAAAAACGGTACAGAGATTAGTTAAGTAAAAACAGAAACCATAACACATTGAAACAACACATTAAACAGTCGTTTTTTAAAGTTTATAATAAAGAATGAGTGACCCAGACTCATAAAAAGTACGTTATTGAGTAGGGGCACAGCTCCGCAAGATACTTTTATACAGGGTGACTTTGAAGTTGAATCATTCATTTTCAGATAATGATTGTAGAAGGAAGATAAACCAAAATACGTGTGTAAAAATAAAAAAAAAATAAAAAAAATTTTTACCTTGTTTTATAAAGTATCCTCCCGACAAGTATTTCAGTGTGGACCTGTATTTGATCGTGAGGTCTTGGAGCACCGGCATGCCCTCCCCTGTGAGGTCTTGAGCCACCTGATTCACGAGCCCGTTGTACTACATTAACAAAGACACGAGGGGTTGGTTGCACTCGATTGGGAAACCGATCCGCATAAACATGTGCCATTTTTTATTTCGTTTGAGCCACGCAGCAAACACCACTATTCACTCACGCGTTACCGACTGACACATTGACTGAATAAAAACATCGTGATCAGCGTTTCAAATTCTTTCGCTTTTTTGTTTCCGAAGCGATGAACCGATAAGGCGGATTATATCCGTTGTTGCCAAACACGAGCACATAATATTATTATTGAGACAGGGCGGTACTCAAACTTCTAAAGGGCTAACTTTCTTACTTTAATTTTACCACAAAAATGTTAAAGGAAAAAAACATTTCTTTTGATCAGATCTACTCACTGTTAAAATAAAGGACTCAACTTCGAAGTCACCCTGTATATGCATACTCAGGTTATTTTTCGAGCACTGTTAGTCTAGGGTCTAGGTGATGGTATGCTCAAATCCATGCCAGCTAAACGTACATTTGTTGTGGGATGCTTGTAGGGCGCAGTTAAAGATGCAGACTGCTGTTGAGTGTTAGCGGATGATTACTCTTAAATGACGACCTAAATGATACGGTGCTCTAGGTCAAGCAAAATACATACATCAACCACGACCACTAGAAATAGAAAAATGTTGAATCTTCAAAAACCATCCATACCAACCGAAGGCAAAATTAATACATAGGCACACCAGCACTACTCTCTAATTCTATGGATGTCTTTTCCTCTCATCATATTTCACCGTTTGGCTTGTGATGAAAACTGCATATTAGATTAATAAACATCAAGCATTTAAAATACATGATTTGAACATTCATTTTTCCAGAAATAAACCTGAGGCATGGATTTCCAGACATTAAGAAATTCCTGTACATTTTATACAATGTAAGCTTCGAAATATCTAAATCCTATGGCTGTTTATAATAGCTATAGAGTAAGACATGCACACATCATTTAGGAAGATAGATGTACTCTTTACATTTTCCACTACAGGGTTATCCAAATTAAGTGTCCACCATTAGTAACTTTGTTATTAGTGAAAATACAAAGTTGTTTGAATTAGCAAACTAGTAGCATTTTTAACGCTGGTAAAAATGAGAAATAAAAAAAACAATTGAGAGTCGTTATTTTGATTTTTTTCAGTAAAATAGCATTTTTTTAAATGGAAACCCCTGTATATTATATTTTTTTCTGTTAAAGCATCAAATTTTAAACAAAAAAGCTTACAATAACTTTTCTCCTAGGTTACAAATTGTTGAAGTTATGGCCTCCAATCTGAAACAATTAAATTGTATCGACAAACTTTATTTTCAACATCAACTTATAATCTTACAAAATACAATAACAATTTTTTTTAAAGAAAATGCTCGAAAACACCACCTTGTTCTTCAATACATTTTTGGGCACGTTTTTCAACTGCTCGAACTGTCTTAACTATGGTCCTACCATCTATCTGGGTTATCTTTTCCTTAACTGCAGTCTTTAACGCGTCAAGGTTATCGTACCTTCGCTTGTAAATTTGGTTCTTTAAGTAACTCCACAAGAAGTAATCAAGTGGGTTTAGATCTGGTGATCTGGGAGGCCACTGTATTGGGCCATTTGTTCCTATCCACTGATCATTAAAAGTAGTACTTAGAAAATGATAAGTACCTCTGGAGTTGTGGGCAGGTGCGCCATCTTGCTGAAAATGCAGATGATGTCTACTTATAAGATCCAATTCGTCTAAGAAATTAGTCAGAATTTCTGACATAAATTCCATATATCTTTCACCAGTTAGGGTTCCCTCATAAAAGAACGGGCCAACAATTTTTGAACCAATTATACCGCACCAAACGTTGAAACTGAAACGGACTTGTGGGCCTCTTGGATGTACTAACAAAAGATTTTCTCTTGACCAATAATGGTGGTTTTTTCTATTAAACATTCCAGAATTTGAAAAATTTGATTCATCTGTCCATAAAAGGTAACGAAAGTTATTTACATTTTGGCGACAGAAGCTAAGATACCAATGGCAAAAAACAAGTCTTCTCTCTGGATCCCCTGCCAAAAGCGTTTGAACTGGTCGGTACTTATACGGAATAAATTTGTATTTTTTTAAAATCCTTTGAACAGTACCATAACTGAAATTAGAGTCCTTGAGAATATCTGCTATTGAATTCTCACGATAAGCTTCAAAATATCCAATAACTGCAATTTCCGTGGCCTCGCTTATTATGAATTCTTTTTTTGCCCTTGTTTTAGCAAAAACATTTTCGTTGCCCCTAAATTTTCGATAAAGTCTCAGAAAATATCGTTCATACGGTTGAATGCGAGCGGGATATAATTCACTGTAGTATTCTCTTGCTCTCAAGGAGGATTTTCTGCACACTAAATAGCATTCTAACATATCACACTTTTCTTCATGGGAGAACATTTTTCTCTAAATTAATGACACAATAAAGCTTATAAACAAGTATTTACACTAATGTTTGACATTATTTGATTTTATCATTGTTTTCCAAAGCCTTCTAGTTGCGAGTATGTCCAGTTTAACAATTTGTCGCTTATCTTAATGCTGTCAAATCGCGAACGCCATGTTGTTTTCATAGCCGTCTTAATATTATAATACTGCAAATAATTAAAAATATTTATCGTTATTTTGACTTTATTTTTGACTTTAGCGGAAAAGTCATTATGAACTTTTTTGTTTAAAATTTGATGCTTTAACAGAAAAAAATATAATATACAGGGGTTTCCATTTAAAAAAATGTTATTTTACTGAAAAAAATCAAAATAACGACTCTCAATTGTTTTTTTTTTATTTCTCATTTTTACCAGCGTTAAAAATGCTACTAGTTTGCTAATTTAAACAACTTTGTATTTTTACTAATAACAAAGTTACCAATGGTGGACACTTAATTTGGATAACCCTGTATATCAAAATATGATCAAATTCTTAGAATATAATTATGTGCTCAAGTTGAGGAAGTAAACAATTACTAACCAAGTCGGAGACATGTAAGGTAACAGGAGATCATTTTTATTCAGGAACCTCTCAACCAAACTAAATATATAATTGGTTCTCACTATTAATCTGTGAAGACATTAATCCATTTGAATATACTCCTTAGGAAAAACCATTGTTATACATGGGAAATCATTTCTTGGCAACAGCGCATCGGCTCGTCTACTTTCATCGCTATTCGTACATATTTCCTACCGTTAACCGCAGACCTGTATCACGAATGAAAATAATAGGCAGATACGCTGTGTTGCCAATTTGAGTAGAGCTTCCCGAATTGTGGGGAATTTAGAGTTAAGTGTTGATTCAGTCAAGCTTTTAATCAGCATGGCCTAGACGTTAGAACTTCATAAAGATAACATTGAAGCTGAATGCTGCTGGAGTATAGTGTTTCGAATATTCAAAGCGCAGCGGGACACTATACTCGTTCAATGGGTCATCAAGCCACAGTCTTTTCAACAAAGAAATTATTTTACGAAAATGCGTTATATTTTTACGATTTTGTCGACACCAAATCTCTGTTTCTCAAAATGTACGTGTATTGTAGAATTTTCAGCAAACTAAGCAAGAAACGTGATCTAGTATTTACTCAACATTACGGATTTCTCGAAATACATTAAAAAATGTGACCTAGATACCTAACTGCCCCAAGCTCTTTAAATATAACACCTTAAACCAGGGTTACCAGGTGCTCAGTCACTTTGATTGTCATGTTGTACTGCGCAAGTCAGCAAACAATCTGGCGTAATAAACGTTAGGAATCATCAGGTACTGCCAGATTCCCGAATACCGGGCACCATAGTAACCGTTATAGTTGTCCTTCAAAGTTGTCAAATCGCCCCTATGGCGCAAATTCGCCACACCAGGCAACTGTGCTATAAACAAACCCTGTTTATCACTACTACTTGATAGTCATATGGTAGTTGTAGCCCTATCTAGCGGTCCATGATTTCTCTCAATACTGTTGTATCTCTACTGGCAACAAGAATAGGGATTACAAAATCATTTATACAACAATATACAAACATGAAAAATATGATTTGAACCATGAAACATTAATGCAATTTTAATAGTTTGAACTTTTTTCATTTTTGGAATACTCTTATGTGGAATCCGCAGCTATTTTTCCCGAAATTTGGGTAGACTTAGATTTCTTAGAAATATGACATATGGGTATCGGCAACTCTGCGAATGGGAGAAACAAATCGCATTTGTTGAGCGCATCCGTCTAAGGCTGCTGCCCCATTAGTGCGTTGCGTTGCGCTGCGTCGTCGCAGCGTCACCGCTTGCGTCGTTTTCCATGTATTTTAGATGGTATGCCACATTAGAGCGCTGCGTCGTCGCTCGCGACGTTTCAACGGATTGCGCTGCGATGTCGGAGCTTCAGTGCGACGACGGACAGTTGTGACGGACAGTGCTGCACTGCCAGAGGAGTGAAGGAGACATACGAACACGATATTTTCGTATCTCAGCATGAGTGTGGAGGAGATTGATATAGATTTTCTCATCTCCTTGGTGCAAGAAAGGCCGATCATATGGGATAAAGGCCATGAACATTACAATGATAAATTTCGGAAAGCAAATGAATGGGTTTCAGTGTGTAAACATTTATATGCAGATTACGAAGAATTTGATGATACAAAAAAGAACAAAATTGGTGAGCTAAGTACATGTTATAGTTATAAGTTAATACGTATTAAATATTGATTTATATCTTCTTCAACTGCCATGGTAAAGTCCCCACGGAACTCATAAAATAATTAGCATACTGATCTCTGATAAAATTTTCAGCTAAAGATTCTGCATCGATATGGGGTTGCAATTGTGGGAAGTTATTTATTGTCATCTTTTCTTGTTGCCGTAAACCATCGTGTTCTGTGACAAAATTGTGTAAAACGCAGCATGCTTTCACAATATCAGTAGTTAAATCATATGCTGTGTCAAGTGGTCTATGTAAAATACGCCATTTATTTGCCATGATCCCAAAAGCACATTCTACATATCTACGAGCTCTGCTAAGGCGATAATTATAAACTCTTTGTTTCACATTGAGTTTTTGGCCGCCGTATGGACGCATAACATGATTACTCAAACTAAAAGCTTCATCACCGACGAGTACATATGGGATTGGTGGCTCGTTACCATGATCATTTACAAGTGGTTGAGGATCAGGCAATGGTAGTTCATTTCTCGTTAAAATCTGATATAGTTTCGAATTTCTAAAAATAGTCGAATCACTTTCTTTTCCATATGCACCCACGTCGACAAAAACAAATTTATAGTTGGAATCTACAACCGCCAGTAAAACAATTGAAAAAAAATGTTTATAATTATAAAACAGGGACCCACTCTTGACAGGTTTCATTAAACGTATATGCTTCCCATCAATTGCCCCAAAGCAATGAGGAAAGTTAGCTTTACGGTCAAAATCTGATGCAATATTTTGTAGTTTCTCTATGGTGATGTCTTCTATGTACTGTGGCCTGAGATATTTCCATATAGCTTGACACACTGATGATATAGCTCTAGAGATTGTTGACCTTCCACGTTTAAATTTGAAACGCAAATCTTTCATCGAATTTCCGGTGCCCAAGTACCTGAAATAGAAACAAAAAAATTATCTTGCTTAGACATTATTTTCTTTCTTTGCAGGCAACGAGGTGGTAAAAAAATGGAGAAGTGTAAAAGACAACTTCACTCGATATGTAAAAAAATTAAAAGAAAATAATTCATCTGGATCAGCGGCGAAAAAAATAAAAAAATATCATTATTATAATCAGTTGCTTTTTTTAATGAAAGTTGCCCAAAATATAACTGATAGTAGCCTTGATAAAGAAACAGAATAAAACGAAAACACACCATCTCCACTTCCGACACAAGGAGTGCCATCGCTACCAGGCCCTTCTCGCTATGTGCCTGCAAATCGGAAGAGATCAAACCAAGCAATAGATGATTTCGAGGCGCAAGCGTTAGAGGCGTTGCAAGAAAAAGAAAACCGCCATTTGTCGTTTTTCAAAGAAATTCTGCCTTCTTTAGCTGATTTTACTGAATTACAAACATTAACATTTCAAAGTGGAGTGATCAAAATGATTACCGAAATGAGGTTTGGGGAACAGAGTCAATCAACAACATGGCAGTCACGCAGATTGCCAACTGGGCAGCAGTATATATCAACACCATCGGAGTCAAGTGGATATCAAACTGGATTACAGGTCCAACCGCTACCACCATCGCCATCGGGGTATCAAACAGCTGAATACTCATCGAACACTACATTTAGTAACTTTACCGATGATAGCCAGGAAGAAGAATATAACTTCGCTTTACTCTCTAATAATAATACTTAAGCTTATTTGTGCGAAAAATGCCTCTTAGTTAAAAGTAAAGCATAACTGATTTTCTGATTAATATGTTTTTTAATACTTACCTCAATGTAACACCAATCATTTCAATTGGTTCTATAGGTCTTCTGAACTTGGTATATTGCTTTTTCAAATGTGGTTCCAAGATTTTCACCAAATATTGAAAGCTAGCCACACTCATTCTAAAAAAATCGAAAAATTCTTCCTCTTCCGACAATAATTCATTATACTCCCGCATAAAAAACTGACCGTCACTATTTCTTAATGCAATCAAAGGAGATACCCACATTCTTTTATTATTTCTACGTTTCTTCCGGCGGTGGCGTAATAAAAGCAACAATAGAACACGTTTATTCCGATCCATTTTGGAAACTAACTGAGGTGCGTGGCATCGGTGGAGGTGCCAGCGTCGTCCTATTGCGCTGCGATGTCGTGCGTTGTCACAATGCAGATGGGGCATACAATGCGATGATCCGCTGCGACGACGCAACGCAACGCACTAATGGGGCAGCAGCCTAAGCGGTAGGCGCCAGCGCCCGTTCTGCCATCTCTCTCTTTTATCACTCTTCTACTTTACTCCGTTGTCCGTCACACTCCGACGCTGCCACATAGGATCCTACAATCGAGTGTCTTTCACGCACCTACATACTTTTGTATATTTCCATCTCTCTTCCTCATCATAATGTATAATAATGTTTTTTCCCAAGGTGTATAACCTTTTCGTATAGTTTCAGATCATCCTTCAACTTCTGCTTAGCCACAGCAATTAGAAGATTCAACTTTGACCACCACCTCTATAGAAAAAAATAAATCTTAGTTTACATCAAGGTGATCACACTGGAGTAAGTCTTTTGAAGTAAGTAAGTTTTAAACTGTTCAGAAAGTTTTCACTGCTTTGATCAAATATTTGAACATGTGGTTATTTGACCGTCTCTTTATTATGTAAACAGTTAACCCTACGTATCATATGAATTAATATTTATTTGCGAATGAAACATTATTGAGTTAAATTTGCAAAAACAGTGATTGTCAGAACCCCTCTGAACTTTACCAGTAATACAGCTTTTGGCACATCAACAACATGGTTCAGTCTAGTCTAAGTTGTTAGAGACTTTAGACATGTGAGAAATTTGTAAGGTTTATACCAAATCATGTGAAGCACCAAGTCACAGCTCTCTTTTTCAGTTTAAGGTTCTTCAAAACATGTGTTCAGGAAAATTATGCCGCAGAGGTGTGACCAGAGAAATACAGTTGACTTCAAGGATCATCACGAAGTTACGAGTATGTAGGATGTTCCATGAGGAAATTGATATAGTGAAATACTAGATAGTATGGACCAAGATATAAATCTATCTAGACACGCTAAATCGTTAACATCACATACCCAGGGACTATTGAACTGATTTTGAGGAAATTTTGCACCATACCAAGGTTACCTAGCTGGAAAATTGAAAAATTCAAGGTCTATTAAATTTCTTTTGTGCCGATGAATGCTTCTCCTTAGTTAGCAAAATTGCGCTTCTTGTGGTTTTTTAGATAAAATTTATTTTTTATTTAAATATCATATTTCTACTAAATACTAATTCCTGTTTCCCTTCAAAGCAGCAATTAAATCATTGAAATATTTAAAAAAGTAAATAGGGTGCATATTTTTGCTTCCGATTTAAATCTTTTATTGTTCTTTTTTCAGCGAAATAATAATTCAGAGTAGTAAGCTACACAGGCCATTGCGCAACAAACTGAATCCGGCTCTTGAACTTTGAGTTCCCAAAACATCTTCAGATTAATTCTAAGCGCTATTTTGTCAACATTGTTTTTCAAACAGATGTTGGGTCTTGATATCTCTAATATTTGAGGGTAACATGCTATATATTGTTGGGGCAAGATATGTTAAATAACGTTGACTTATATCTCTACAAATCACTGGCATTAAAAGGTATCAATGGCTTCTACACCGCGTGCTATTCTGATTTACATATAAACGTTCATTTTTTATTTTATAAACATATACAAATATCAAGTACTTATGAAGAGCCAATTCCATTTTTAGGATCCTGTGATATATGCTCTCTTGGGGTAGGTTGATGCTCTCTTCAAGGACCTCTAGCTCTTCTAATACATCTGGTTACATGTTCAAGACCAATGGTATTACTCGTATAATGCAAGACCCTTTTTGTGAGAAGAAGAGACATCTATCTTGGAGGTGCATTGTTCGATTTTGATAGAACTGGGAAAAACTTCAGACAGACTATTACACAATCTCGACACTCTGGAAGCTGCGAAGTCATGTCAGTCAGTCCTTGGCAATGTTAGAATGAAATCAAAAAGAGACCTAGTGGTGTCTAGCTGGTGCGCCACTCGTCAAGTATAAACAGAGTAGTTTGACAGGCACTAACTAGACATGCAAGCAATTCACAAGCCGGATTTTAGCTGAACTTTGTAAAAGCTCTCCAAATATCTGATGAATTTGGGGATACTCAACATATTCTCAGTTATTATATTTATAAGACTGTGACTGTAATCCGCAATATTTTGAAATAATTTTCAAGTACTTTAAGCATTTAAGTGCATGTAGTACTCCCTTATACGTATGGATTGCATGTACAGGCTTTCTGAGTGATTAATTTGTTATTAGTTATGTGTTTGTAATATCCATATTCATAATAAAATATAACAAATTTGTAATACTTTTGTTATTTTTCATATAGATAATGTACACAATTCGTTACGAAGAAATACACGCCTACAGAATATCTAACACTGTGATGGATCCCTTACAAAAGTATTAGTTACTTGTCACTGTTGATGAAAATATGAAAAAATAGTGTTGACCTAAAGGATACTCTCAGAGTCTATGAACAGCTATTTACTGTTGGCTTTTAGGATATATTCTACAAAAATAAAATGTTTTCTTTGAATAACTGCTTTTTTGGAATTAAATATTCCGTTGCCTTATTTTCAAGCTACCATACTGCTGTCTTCTTCATAACATCTTTTCTCTGGCTGGCTGCCTGAACAAATGATACATTTTGATAGCTTTTCATATTTCAGAGCAGGAGTGTGGCATATTTTCTAAATAATTTTAATCTATGAGCTAACATCAACATTAGGGTGAGCATGAATGCAGAGAGCAAATATATTATGACAAAACCATTTACACCAACAATCTCATCTTCTGTATTGTATGATGTCTAAAATAGGAATATAAGTTACTTTAGATATAGCATCACACAAATTTAGCTTTAGTTTACCTCTACTGCGTAAGTTTTGATACTAATACCTACTTCTCCTTTCAACACTGCTTGGAAAACTTATATCAAGTAGCATTTTATGAAGATCCACTCT